GCAAATCCGAGGCTCCCAGCGCCCGGTCCCCAAATTCCAGCCCGGAGCGCGTTGGGGGGAGGGGACAAAGGCGGGGCGGGGGGCCGCGCCGGCGGGCCGGGTCCGGAGGCTTTGGAGGCTCACCTCATGGCTGCTCCGCGGCGGGCGGCGCACCCACAGAACGGGGCGCCCCTGGCTCGAGGTTCAGGGGTTCGGGGTTGGCTCCGGGTTCTGCTCAGTCTCCCCCAGGGTCCCGCCCCATAGAGTCCGGCTTCCTGGGGAAAACGTGGACGGGGCCGGGGCGGGTCCTCGGGCGACCTCCACCCTCTGGGGGGGTCTGATCGGGGTCCCCGCGACAGAAAGGGGGTGCGACGTCCCCTCCGCGGCGCTCCCCGCGGCCGCCGGCGGCTACAGTGTTACTCTTACTACTGTACTTCCCTCCGGGTGCTCGTTCCAACATCCACTCCCCTACCCACAGTGCCCTGCGCCTTAAAGGGGCCGCGAGCCAACCGAGGCGGGGTGGGTGGGTGGGGCGGAGGGCGCTTAAAAGGCCAACGCGGAACCTTACGCCCCAACGGTGCTGCTGGGGCCGCTTTCCGGGGTCACTCTCACGTGGGGGGGGCGCTCGGTGGAGGGGGAGGGACCCTAGTTCTCCCCACGATGGGGATCCTTAGGGGGATCTCAGGGGGGCACCGTGCATTCTCGTCCTTCCCATCCACTTCTCCGTTTCTTTGCACTCTGCTCCCTTTGGGGGGGCGAGGAGGACCCTCACATTTCCCCCCTTAACTCCTCCCTTCTGACCCCCCAACGTCTCTCTTCTCTGCCCATTTGGGGGGTGACCGATGGTGCACCCTCTCCCGGCACCGGCGGGAGGAAGGTGGGAAGGACTCCGCCCCTCACGGCCCCCGCCCGGCCGGGAAGGTGAGGAGGAAGTGGGCCGAGGGGGCGCGGCCGCCGCTGACTCACAGCCGCGGGGGGTGGGGTGCGGCGGGACCGGGGTGGGGGTGAGGCGCCGGTTCCAGGGGGATGAAGCCCCCGGCTCCCGCCCCACGCACGCCCCGCCGTCACTCAGTCCCGCCCGCGGAGAATGGCACGATCATCCCGCAACTGGAGGCCACGAAGGCGGGGCGACCCTCCCCGGGACCCGCTCCCGCGAGCCCCTTCCCCCCGCCACGCGCGGGCTGCGGGCTGCGCCCCAACACCCGCCGAAGCTTCCGCAGCGGGTCCCGCCGGCCCCGCCCGCGTGACGTCACTCCTGAGGCCCCACCTCTCCTGCACGGCGCCACCTGGCCCGGGTAGGTGCCCCAGTCCGGGGCAGAAGCCTGGGGAGTCATCAGTCTGCCGTTTACAAATGGGGAAACTGAGGCCTGGAGGCAGGGACTATATCTGGGCTATAAGCCCTCTTGCCTGAACCCCCAGAGCCGGTGGTGCTTGGTGCGAAGTGTAAAACGAACAATACTCAGGGTCCAGATGACCAGGTGAGCCCATCAACCTTCCCAGCCTTTGTCCAAGCCGTAGCCCCTGCCTCGGTGCCGCCCTGACCTCGCCTCATGCTCCTAGGTCATGTGCTGACATTAATTCTTCTCTGCAGAATCGAGTAACTGCTCCAGCTCACCCTGGGAGCCCCTGAACCCGGGCCCACCTGGGTTAGAATTGTTTCTCTGTGTGTCTCCTCAGGCTGTAAGTTCTTTGGGAACAAGTGTAGACTTCATCGTATTTCTGTGACTCACTAACTCAGCCAGGCCCAGAACAGCATTTCAACACACAGGTATCCAACTGAATAAGAACTCCAGTTCTGTGTGACCTTGGGCAAGTCCTTTCTCCTCTCTGGGTCTCCGCTTTTCCATCTGTGAAATGGGAGGGGTGGTGCTCCTGTGTGCCACCGGCACTGCAGTCAGCAAACTTTTTCTAGTAGATGTTTTAGGCATATTAGGCATAGAGTCCCTTTCACATGCCTTTTACAGCCCTTTAAAATGTAAAAGCCATTCTTAACTCGTGTTGTGTAAAACAGGTAGCAAGACTCCTGCACTAGAGAAACCCTTGCAACTGTACACAAGGAGCCTGACCAAGATCTTGATGGCAGCAGTGATGTGAGGGAAAGAAACTGGAAATAGTCTACAGGTCCATCAAGAGAAGGATGGCGCCCTAACCGGTTTGGCTCAGTGGATAGAGCGTCGGCCTGCAGACTGAAAGGTCCCAGGTTCGATTCCGGTCAAGGGCATGTACCTTGGTTGCGGGCACATCCCCAGTGGGAGGTGTGCAGGAGGCAGCTGATCGAAGTTTCTAACTCTATCCCTTTCCCTTCCTCTCTGTAAAAAATCAATAAAATGTATTTTTTTTTTAAAAAGAGGAGGATGGATAGGGAAACCTGTGGGGCGCGGCTACAGTGTTTTGGCCAGGTTCAAGCCTCAGACTAATGAAAGGACACGGTCCTCTCATTGCCACGTGCAAGTCCCGGCTGGAAGGGCAGGGCCCTCCCAGCACAATCATAGCCAACAGCTGTGGTTGTAAGCTTGAACCTATGGTCCAAACACGTAGCCCCACGTGCCTTGTGATAGCGTTCAGGTGCATATAGTTAAGTGAGGTTGAAAATCACTAGAATGTTGTAAACAACGTGATCACGCCCCTACTTTGCCTCGTGGCATCTGCTATAAAATAAAGACGCGGCTTGTGGCGCTGGCGCTGTCTCCTCATCAGGGAGCAGCGTCCCACCGAGACCCAGCTTTCATTCTCTTGTCTGTCTTTTCTCAATCCTTTCACCCCCCCACTCAGGGTCACTGAACCAGGCTGAGCTGGCACGGCACGTAAGGCGCCCTGGGGCTGAGTATGCCATGGCCGTGCCGGCTCCCCACAGAAACCATTGCACATCCCTTATCTGAAGCACTGGGCAGCACCTAAAAAGAATGAGGAGTGCAGGGAGGAATGGGGGGATAATGTGGGGATAAGGATACATATGTAATAACTTAATCAGTAAAGAAATTAAAAAATAATAAAGATACATAAAAAAAGAATGAGGAGTGCAAATGGCATGAAACTAGTCCCCAACATATCACTGGGTGGAAAAACAAACCGCCAAATGCTACATAGGATATGAAAACGATCAAGGAAACACCACATACATGGGTGTATATGCAGAATCAAAGGTCTGGGAAAAGCCACTCCAAACTCATGGCAGTGATTACCAACAGGATAGGGCATGGGATTGTGGAGTATTCGATGGTCATAGAAATCTCAAGCCTCATCCTGAAAATGCCAAGTTCGAGCCCTAGCCAGGCACAGTTCGTTCGCACGTTGTCCCAATACACCAAGGTTGCAGGTTTGACCCCCCGTCAGAGCCCACACAAGCATCAACCAATAAATGCATTAGTAAGTGGAACAAAAAAAATCGATGTTTCTCTCTCTCAAATCAATACTTTTTTTTTTAAAGAAAATACCAAGTTTGATCCTGTCTCTAGGCTTTCGCACTGGTCTGCCTTGGGACACTTCCCTGGGGTGTTTATATGGCTGGTGCTTCTCTGTCAGATCTCTGCTCATTGTCCCCTCCTCAGACTGATCCCCTGTCTAAAGCATCCGTTCCCAGGGGCTGCAGGGTGGGATGGAGAAAGACTTCTCATTTTATTTATTTACTTATTTAAAAAATATTTTTATTGATTTCAGAGAGGAAGGGAGAGGGAGAGAGATAGAAACATGATGAGAGAATCATTGATAGGCTGCCTCCTGCATACCCCCCACCCCGACTGGGGATCGAGCCCTCAACCCAGGCATGTGCCCTTTTCGGGAATCAGACCTGGGACCCTTCAGTCCGCAGGCCGACGCTCTATCCACTGAACCAAACCAGCTAGGGCAAGACTTCTCATTTTATACCTTTTTTGTACCCTTGAATTTGAACCAAGGGAACTTACTGCCATTCAAAAAAAATAAACGAATAACAATTTTAAAAAACCAAAGTAGCTTTTCTTACCACATCCACCTGTTTTATTTTCCTTGACACACTTGTCAGTGTCTGAGGTGACCTTGTTTATCAGTTCCCTGGTTTGCTGTTTGCCCACACACACTAGGAGGTGGGCCCCTAGAATAGACAGGAATCTCAGTGAGGCCCCCTGGCTGATGGCTGTGAGCAGGTGCCCAATATATTTGCCAAATGACTGGGCAAATGATGTTTGGAGGGCGGGGGGGCGGTGTCTGTGGTTTTTTTTTTTTCCTATAAGAAAAATGTATCTTGAGTTATGTAATTCTAATTTCATAATAACATCTCCCCTAGCTCCTCCATAACAGATGAGAAATGGAAAGGGGAGACACGGTTATTGAACTGGGTGATCTTTCAGGATCCGTTCAGCTCTGAATATTTGGTTTTGGGGTGTGTTTTTTCCATCTAGATGGTGAGTGGAATTCCCCCTCATAAGACTTTTTTGTGAGAGGGAAGTAGGAGAAGGGGAAATAAACCTTCTGAGGTTCCTCCATCAGCTCTTCTTCCTTCCGCTGTTCTTTGTAGCTGAGGAAGGAGAGGTTTCTAAGTTCCCTTAGGGCCCCAAAGGACAACAGGGGGACCCCCTAAGGACGACAGCTGTCAGGCCTGAAGTCCAAGGCAGAGCTTGGATGGGTGCCAGTGGCCTTCCCAGCCCCGTTCTGCGCCTTCTGTAACATAAAACATAAGAGATGGTGCATAGACACCCCTTCTACTCTCAGTATCTACTCCCCTATATTCTGGAAACACCACTCCTATTTCCCTTTGGGGGGACCAGCATCCCCCATCTCTCAATCCATCGGTTTTGGAAGCACTGGACCCCCAACCCTAAGCTCTAGGGGTGGGCTTGTGACCACAGTCTGGCCGGTCAGAGACACAGTGACTGGCAGGCACGTGACCCAGGGCGGCCGATAAAAACCAGCTCTGGAGCCATTGCTGCAACTCCTGGGAAACCGGTGCCTTCTTTCCACGGAGGATGTTAAGCTCATGGGACGTGAGGCTGGAGCTGCAAGTCTCTGCTCCCTGGAGCTCAGACCCTGCCTGGGCACGAAGCCAATTCAGAGGAAATAAAACTAAGAGACAGTTCCTGATGACATCATCTGACAACTGGACGCAGTCATGCCTTAAGTCCCCGAACTCTTCAATTACATGGCCCAGTAAATTCCCGGTTTTGCTTTCCCAGATTGAATTGGGTTTGTCACTCACAACTCAAACAATTCTGACAAATACCTCCTCCTGCTGCTCAGAAACTAGCAACAGCCGCCCTCCTCTAAGTGGGAATAACCAAACTCTCTTTTCTGCTTTTCGGAAGCCTCTGGCCCCGGCTTCCTCCTTCCCGTTTCCACTCGGAGCCCCACCTCACCCCTGCCTTTCTGTGGCCCGCCCACCGCCTCTGTGGACACCTCCAGTTCTCTTAGGCTGCCTGGGCCCAATTCACAGCCTCTCTCCAAGACCCAGACCATCCTCAGGGATCCCTTGGCCCGCAGGGCACCCGGGCCTGGCCCACAACATTCCTTGAATGTTTCTGCCTTATTCCTGGATGGAGGGGGTGGTGCTTGGAATGATGGGGCTTCACAGAGCATTGCAGGGGCACATTTCTCGGCGGGGGAGCAGTCTCTTCTGCTCTGCTTCCCCACCGTAATACCTAGCACAATGCTTCAAGCCAGGAGTGAGAAGGTATTAATATACCAGGCAAGTCCCTTGTCCCCTCTGACCTCAATTTCCCTATCCCTAAAGGAGGTGTGTGGGGGGGAGGGGGCTGGGTTACATGCTTCCAAGAGAACCATTCAAGAACAGAGGGTCCTGTCCTAACTGGTTTGGCTCAGTGGATAGAGCGTCGGCCTTCGGACTGAAGGGTCCTGGGTTCGATTCCGGTCAAGGGCATGTACCTTGGTTGGGGGCACATCCCCAGTAGGGAGTGTGCAGGAGGCAGCTGAACTGCTGTTTCTCTCTCATCAATGTTTCTAACTCTCCCTCTCCCTTTCTCTCTGTAAAATCAATGAAATATATTTAAAAAAAAAAAGAACAGAGGGTCCTTACCTCCCAGCGCTGCCCTGAGGCCTGGAAGAGCTGAGAATAAGCTTCAGGGATGAGAGCGGCCCCGGAGAGCAGAGTGGGGGGGCCCTCAGGACGAGACCCTCCTCTGGCCACCCCCCCATTCTACCCCCTCCCACCCGACTCACATGCAGTAGAGCCCTCCCCCAGGAGGTAAATCCGGGATGTCCTCAGAGGCCAGAGTCCTGAACACCTTGTTCAGGCTGGGGGGCTCCTGGGCAGAGGAACACAGCAGGGATGGGAGTGCCCCTGCCGACCACCCCTCCCGCTGAGCTTCTAAAAGAGCTTGCCCACCTGCCACCCTGCGGCCCAAGGCTGCATGCAGCTCTAGCTCCTTCCTCCTCGCAAGGCCTGGGGGCCCCGGGGGAAGCAGACCAGGATGCAGGTCATGTTGTCCAGGCTGCCCTGAAGAAGGTGGAGAAACGAGAGTATACTGTAGTGGGACATGATTGAATGACCCAGCGCGGGGCCCCACGCTCTCAGAAGCAGAGCTCCCTAACAATCCCTGAGTTCTTGTGTGGGTCTCCCCATTTCTCTCAAGCCCCGCCCATCTGCCAGTCTAAACCAAGCCATCTCACAGGGACAGATCCCTTAGGCCACTCCCCTTACTGGTCTAGCCCCGCCGGCGCTAAGAGAACCACGCCCCTTCCCCAAAGCTCCTCCCACTCTAGCTGCTCCTCCTGGTCCTAGTCAGACCTCGAGACCCACTCCGCCCGGCCTGTGTGGCTCAGTGGTTGAACATTGATCTATGAACTAGGAGGTCATGGTTCAATTCCCAGTCAGGGCACATGCCCTGGTTTCGGGCTCGATCCCCAGTAGGGGGTGTGCAGGAGGCAGCCGATCAATGATTCTTTTTTTTTTTTTTTGTCAGAACAACTCAGCAAAATAAAATTCCTGTTTATTGTGGACAACATTGTTTCACACATACATCGAACAGGCCAAAAAAAAAATAAACAGCAATTTCATAGACAAAAAAAGGGAAAAAAAGAAACCTTTTTATCTTTGGCCTTTTTAACCATCTCATACAAACCAACTACTTATAGTACAGCTAAGTACATACACAAAAAGTTACTGGAATGCTCGGAATAAGACTGTTTTTTGTTGTTGTTGTTTTTCCTTTTTTTTATAAGGTTTTTTTTTCTCCTTTGAGATTATAGTGAACATGGTCACACCACAACTGAAGTCAGAAGTAGGACAGAGAATGCTCCAAAGGCTGGTTTGTGGTCCCAAGATCATTAAAAATGGCTGACCCCTAACAATTTGTACAAAAATATAAAATGTAAATAAAAAATACAAACAAATTTTCCTTTTTAAAGTACTTTTAAGAAAAAAAGCAGCCGAAACCGGTTTGGCTCAGTGGATAGAGCGTCGGCCTGCGGACTGAAAGGTCCCAGGTTCGATTCCGGTCAAGGGCATGTACCTGGGTTGCGGGCACATCCAAAGTAGGGAGTGTGCAGGAGGCAGCTGGTCGATGTTTCTCTCTCATCGATGTTTCTAACTATCTCTCTCCCTTCCTCTCTGTAAAAAATCAATAAAATATATTTTTAAAAAAAAGAAAAAAAGCAGGGCCTTGGAAGTTTTGGTTCTTTTTTCCTCCCCTGTTGCAAATTCACGTTGTGGTTTTGGTTGGGTGGTGGAGAGTGCGTGTCATCTGCAGGTGGCGCTGCCCGAGGTGGGTGGGTGGGCAGGTGGGCGGGAGTCTCTACTCGAAGGTGACCACGTTTAGATTCTGAGACCGGAAGTGGAGGGTGAAGAGGTCACGGGGGCCTTTAACTTTTCCTTTTTTTGCTGTCTAGTCATCCTCATCGGTCTTCTGCTTCTTGGTGTCAACATCATCATCCTCATCATCTGCAGCTGCCCGTTTGCCTGCAGCTGCCTCTGCCTCATCTTCATCTCCATCCTCTTCCTCACCATCACCTTCCTCTTCCTCCTCCTCCCCTCCTTCTTCCTCTTCTTCATCTACCTCATTGTCAGCCTCCTGCTCCCCATTTTCCTCATTCTCAGCGTCCCCATTCGCAGGTGCATCTCTTCCATTCTCTGCCTCCTCCACAACTTCCTGCTTCTCCTTTAAGTCCTTGGTGGTGATCTCGGAGCTGGTGTCCACGGCCGTGTCTGACATGGTGGGGCACGCCGGTGATCCTATGCAGCGGATTTTTTTTAAAAAAGCGAGAGTTGGAGGACTCTGGCGAAGAAGCTGCCGGAGTCCGCGGCGGTGGAGGAGGCGCGCGGCAGAGGTGGTTGCAGCGAGCGGAGAGGGAGCCACAGGAACAACGCAAAGATGGCTTTTCAGAGCAGCCAGTCCGATCAATGATTCTTTCTCATCATTGATGTTTCTGTCTCTCTCTCCCTCTCTTAAAAAAAAAAAGACCCACTCTGGGCCCTGACTGGGTAGCTCATTTGGTTAGAGCATGGTGCTGATACACCAAGGTTGCGGGTTCGATCCCCAGTGAGGGCACATACAAGAGTCAACCAATGAATGTATAACTAAGTGGAATAATAAATTAGTGTCTTTCTCTTTTCTTTTCTTTCTAAAATCAATAAATAAAAATTAAATTAAAAAACAAGACCCTGCCAAGACCGGTTTGGCTCAGTGGATAGAGCGTCAGCCTGCGGACTGAAAGGTCCCAGGTTCGATTCCGGTCAAGGCCATGTACCTTGGTTGCGGGCACATCCCCAGTGGGAGGTGTGCAGGAGGCAGCTGATCGATGTTTCTCTCTCATCGATGTTTCTGACTCTCTATCTCTCTCCCTTCCTCTCTGTGAAAAGTCAATAAAAATATATTTTAAAAAAAAAAAAACAAGACCCACTCCTATGACGCAGGGCCCTCCCACCCAAAAGACCACGCCCTTTCTCTTAAACCCCTCCCACTTATTTATTTAGCACTTCAAGTACCACTTTTCCATCTTGCTTCAAGGCAGCCTGCCCTCTCCACATTTTGGCCCTGCCCCCTTCCAGCAGAAGCCTTTTAGTGGAACTCCACCCCCTGTTTAGTTTTACTCATGCCTCTCCATTAAAGCCCTTCCGCCCTAAAACCATTAGGCTCCTCGCCCCAAGCCCCACCCCAGGACCTTGCACAGGCACGTGTCCAACTGCTGCGCGCAGAGAAGCGCACGGATACGCTCGCGTTCCCGGAGCCGGAGGGGTCCATGGCCCTCGGTGCTGAAGGCCACAGCTCCAGCGCGGCTCAGCACCGCGCGAGAGTCACCGCAGTGTGCCAGGTACAGAAAGCGCGGGGAGACGAGTAACACCACCGCGGTAGAGCCGCCTGGTTCGCCGCGGGGCAGAGCGAGCGCGGGCGTGCGTCTGCGCTCCAGAAAGCCAGGCGAAGCGCCCGCACACGCCCTCTGGCTCGCCAGGCGCAGGGTCCAACGCCAAGAGCACGTGGCCGGGCAGGTGGCGCGCGCCGAAGAGGGCTGCTCGCGCTCCGCCTTGGCCGTCGAGGACAGCAAAGAAAGCCCAGCCCTGGGGCAGCCCGGGTAACGCGAGCCAAGCGCAATGCGCGTCCTCCATGTGCGCGCGCCAACCTGCGCTGCGCTCGCTCCGAAGCGCAGGCCCCAAGAGGCTGCCTCACCCCCGTGCGGCCGCTGAGCGCATCGCGGGGCGTCCAGGAGGAACCGAGGCGAGGCCCATTGGGAGTCCTGCGCCCCTCCTCCTCCTCTGCCCCCTCCTCCTTTTGCGCCGGCCAGAGCAGACGCTCCAGCAGGCGGGCAAGGGCCGCCATCCTTCAGTCTTGGGATCAGGAAGGCTTCACCCTCTGCACCTGCCCCCCTCCCACTGCTTTAATCCCCTCCACTGTGAGATTTTAAACCACCGAAATCTCCTCGATCTGCACTCAAGTCGAGTCACTAAAAGAGATTGGACTACTGAGTCTTCCTTTCTCTCGCACCTTCAAAGGGAGGTTTGGGATCAGGGTCAGGGAAAAATAATAGCAAAGTAGCATTCACATTCACCATGTGTGTTACACACTATTTTACATCATCATTTCCGGTTTACAGAAGAGGAAACTGAGTCGCAGAACCAGCTGGGACACGAACTGCAGAATCCATGTTCTCAACACTACATTCTTGGCTTCAGTCCCCACCAGCCCTGCTCCGTCCAAGCTCAGTGGCCTCGCCCCCGTTTTAAATCTTTAAATCCTTTATTTTTTTAGTTCGACCTCTCCACTTCTGGGTGTCGACCCCGGACTTCGGATGTTTCTTTTCCTGGTCCCGCCACTCATGCAATCCCACAGCCTCAAACTCTTAATAGTCTCCGTCCTGGCCCCACCTCTAGCCCCGCCTCTTCGCTGCAGGCCAGCCCCGACATTGCGCCAAAGCTCGCCTCCTCTCTGAGGGTTGCGGGTTACGCCCACCTCCTAGGCCACGCCCCCTTGCCTGGCCTCCTATTCCCTTTATATCACGCCTCTAGCTCCTCGGTCTCTGACTGACCCCGCCCAACTATCGGAATACGTAATTATAAATCGGCTTTAAGCCCCACCCTTGTCTGAGCTCCTCTCCAGGTCTCAAAACTTTCTGGGTATTTTCTATCCCCTCCCTTTTCCACTCCCTCTGAAAATCCAGACTCAAACCCTGCTTCTCCTCAATGCCACCCCTAACTCCTCTCCTCGGAGATCCTCGCCCCCACCGTTCTTTCCCGAGCCCCGAGCCCCACCCCAGGCTCCGCACCTCTTCCCCTACAGGCCGCGCCCCCTTCCATCTAGACTCCGCCCTTTCTTTTACCATCTTGTCGGCCCCATACCCTATCCTCCGAGCCCCACTCCTCTAGTACAAAAGCCACGCCCTCCTCACAGTGTTGCCCCGCCCCCGCCCGCCCTCAGGCCCCGCCCCGCCTGCCCTTTGGCCCCGCCCCCAGCTCCGCGCTGCAGTGCCTTCCCCGCCGCGGCCCCGCCCGCCCCGCCCGCCCCGCCGAGCCGAGCAAAGGGCGGCGGCGGTGGTGGCGGCTGCTGGAGCTGCCCAGGAGGAGGAGGCGGCAAGGATGGCGCTGGCGTCGTGGGCTCGGTGGAGATGAGTGCCCGCGGCCCCAGGCCCAGGGCGGCGTGGCCGGAGTGGGCGGGGGTCCCGATGCAGGCCCGAGGGGGGCCATGGGGCAGGTCCTGCCGGTCTTCGCCCACTGCAGTGAGTAGGGGCAGGCTCCGGCCTGGTGCGGGGCGCAGAGGCCCGGGTGGGCTCCTCCCTGGTATCCTGTCCGCACCGGGCCGCGGGGCGAGCCGGGATGGGGGAGGGGGCGAAGGAGACAAAGGATGCTCTCCCCTCCCCCCGCGATCTAGCGGCAACGGGGGCGACCTGACCCGGAGGACTTGAGTGACACAGGGCGGAGTTGGGGGGCACTGAGATAACTGGCGTGGGGGCGCGCTGGGCGCTGGAGTGTGTGGCCAGGCCTCGCCCCGGGGATGAGGACGTTTGCCGGGAGCTGTCCCCATGCCTGGTGCTGGCCGCAGCGGGCGGGAGGGCGGTTGAATGGAGGGGTAGAATCAGGATGGAAAAGAGAAGTCTGACCTCACCCACCTTCGCATCCCACCTCTGTTTTCTGCCCTGACTCACAGGCAGCCCCGACCTCGCCCAAACTGTCCAACCCCCTGTCCCTGGGAAGCAGCCATTCCTGGGTTGGGGCGAGGACTCCTGGGTCCTTGGCAGGCTTTACCACTGGTTGGGAGTAACCCTGGAAGAGACTCACTCTGCTCCGGCCCTCTGGTTCCTGGCATCCCATTCCCCAGCTAAGGAAACAAGATGGGAGCAGACGGAGTCTGAGTCCAATTTCCAAAGGCTTTTGAGCATCTCCTGTAGGCAAAGCCCCAAGTTCGGTAGCTGTGAGGGGCTGGATTCCACAACTGAAAAAGCCTTGTCTGACCCTCTCGATCTCTGCCCCCAGGGCTCTTGTAGTCCTTGTCTCGAATTCTGTCCCACACTCCCGTGGTTCTGACAGCTGGGGATTTCAACACTCTCAGATCTAGCCAATTGCCTGTCTGGGAAGTCCAGATGCCAAAATTCTAAGAATTTGTTATTTCAACATTTTAGCGTATCATCCCCAAATTCTAAGGTCTTTATTGGGCTTATAAAGGTGGCCCTACATGATCTCCCACCTTATTTATCATCCCTCATCCCCCACCCTTCTTCCCCTCAGTTATTTTGCTCCACTCGCACATTTGCACCTCTCTTTTCCTCAAATATGCCAAACAGTGCCTGCCTCAGGGCCTTTGCACTGAGCTTTTCCATCTGCCTGGAAGATTCTTCCCTAAATACCTGCTTGGATTCTTTATTCAGACCTCTGCTCAAATGTCATCTTATCAGAGAAGTCTTCTCACCACCCTGTCTGAAGTTGCACCCTCTCATGGTCTCTTCCCTTATCAAGCTCTTTTCTCCACACACTTAAAGCACCGACGTCATTTATTTACTTGTTTATTGTCTGTCCCCTCTAGAAGCTTTTGAGGGCAGGGGTTTTGTCTGTATTGTCCGCAGTTGTATCCTTGGGGTTAAAACAGTGCCCAGCCCATAGTGGGCTTTCACCAAATGGTTGTTGAAAGAATGAGTGAACTGATACCTCCTAAGACTCCTAATTTGAAGAGTTTGAAATTAGGGTTCCTGGACTTGAACTTCTAAGACGGAGCTTCTGATAGACATGAGTTAGGCTTGCCCAGCCGGTGTGGCTCAGTGGCTGAGTGTCAACCTATGAACCTGGAGGTCCCGGTTCCATTGCTGGTCAGGGCACGTGCCTGGACTGCGGGCTTGATCCCCAGTGTGGAGTGTGTAGGAGGCAGCCAATTAATGATTCTCTCTTACCATTAATGTTTCTATCTCTCTCTCCCTCTTCCTTCCTTTCTGAAATCAATAAAAATGTATTTTTTTTAAAAAAGAAGTGAGTTGCCCTGACTGGTTTGGCTGAGTGGATAGAGCGTCGGCCTGCGGACTGAAGGGTCCCCAGGTTCGATCCGGTCAAGGGCATGTACCTTGGTTGCGGGCACATCCCCAGTAGGGGGTGTGCAGGAGGCAGCTGATCGATGTTTCTCTCTCATCAATGTTTCTAACTTTCTATCTCTCACCCTTCCTCTCTGTAAAAAAATCAATAAAATATATTTAAAAAATAAAAAAAGAAATGAGTTAGGCTTTACAGTCTGTGTGCAAATGTTGTAAAGGCCCTGGGACTCAAATATTCTAAGATTCCTTAACTCCGACCATCCAGGTTCCCAGGACTGGCACACTTTGGTGGTCAGACAGTCTAAACTTCTAAGAATCTTTGCTTTCCCCCCCCATCCCTCTCCCAGAAGAAGCTCCGTCTACGGCCTCCTCTACCCCTGATTCCACGGAAGGTAAGCGGAGGGGGAGGACGTGAAAATGTGACTTGAAAGAGGCTCCCAGCTGGGGAGGAGGGTGAGGAGGGTGGTCAGGGTCCTCCTCCGAGGAGCTCACGCCTGCCTTGCTCTGCAGGAGGGAACGACGACTCGGATTTCCGGGAGCTGCACACAGCCCGGGAGTTCTCGGAGGACGACGAGGAGGAGACCACGTCGCAGGACTGGGGCACCCCCCGGGAGCTGACCTTCTCCTACATTGCCTTCGACGGCGGGGTGGGCTCCGGAGCGCGCCGGGATTCGGTTGCCCGCCGGCCCCGGCCCCAGGGCCGCTCGGTCTCGGAAACGAGAGACCCACCCCCCCAGCCCGGCCTGGGCGACAGCCTGGAGAGCATCCCCAGCCTGAGCCAATCCCCGGAGCCTGTGCGCCGGGAGAGACCCTGACACCGCCCCGCAGGCCGAGCGCACCCCGGAGGGCCTGGGGCTCCCGCTGGACCAGCTGGACTGGGTGGCCCGGGGAGCGGGGTCCGGGGAGGACTCGGCCACCAGTAGCTCCACGCCCCTGGAAGACGAGGAGCCCGACGGGTCGGAGGCCAGAGAGGCTGGGAAAGGTGAGATGTCCCCACGTGCTGGGACCAGTCACCAGGGGCGGGTAGTTAGACTCTTCCCAGGGCACCTCCAAGGTGAGAGCTCATGGCCTTCTCTCTCTAACGCGCCAGAACTGGACCTACAACTCGCATTCGCTCAGTCCTCGCCGCCCGGCGCCTTGACTCCACCATCCAGGCCTGGCTCTGGGACCCCCCAGGCCCGGACCCCGTCCCCGCCCGGATCCCGGGATTCGAACTCATGGCCTGCTGAGCCCTCGCTGGACGAGAAAGAGGAAGAGCCTAGGAGGCAGCTGGATCGGGAACCAATCACGGGGCAGTGCCTTGTTAGCACGGACCAATCAGAATCCACACTGGAACCACACCTTCTAGGTAAACTGCTTGAGTGAAGGTGCTCCTTCGGATCACAGCGGGGGTGGGAGGGTTGCAATTTGAAGGGACCAACTTCGCGAAGGAATGGAGAGTGGAGAAGGGAGGCTGGACATATGAATTCCGCCCTTTAAATGCCCATTATCTAAGATTGCCATTGGCTCTTATTTTCTTTTTCTTTTCTTTTCTCTTTTCTTTTCTTTTCTTTTCTTTTCTTTTCTTTTCTTTTCTTTTCTTTTCTTTTCTTTTCTTTTCTTTTCTTTTCTTTTCTTTTCTTTTCTTTCTTTCTTTCTTTTTTTTTGTCATTGGCTCTTTTTATATAGATTTCCACTGGGAAGTTAGCCCTTTTTTTCGAGCATTAGGATTGGCTGATTGCTAAAAAGTAAAAAATGAATAAATCCCTCTTTTGGAGTGCTCCCCCTAGAGGCTGATTGTGGAACAGGCCAAACCCCAGAAAAAAATAAAGCTCTCTTCTGGATGTGGCTGTGGGACAGTCATAAGTAAACTCTGTGCCTTTCAAAAACTCCTCTCCCCTGACCACATCCGCCAGCCAGCGGCAAGCAGACGCTGCGTTACTTTAGTTTAGAATATGCTCGGCCTCCACGAACCTCCAAGGGCGGGCCGCTTACAGACACCACGGCTGGGGGCTGTTTACAAAGAGAACCACCCCTTTTTGGAACTGTCCCCACCTCCGTGGAGAGCCATTGGCTGGGTGCGAAGGGGCCCCGCCCCCCCTGCTCCCTCCCTCTGGGTTCCACTGAAGTGGGCAAAAGCCCCGAGAAGCAGTGGAGTCCGCAGCCTTTCACGCGGAGCAGAGATGGGGAGTAAAGGTGGGCCTGCGGGGCGGGCTGGGATCGGGGCTGGGGGGCGGCGGAAAGGGACCCAGATTCGCTACCGCCCTCACGTCTGGGAGGATGCTTCCCATTGGTCCCAGATTCCCCAGAGCTGCAGGCTGAGGCTGGGGGGTTTTGGGGGTGTCGAGGGAGAGCGCGGAGGGAGCGTGGGGTACCCTCTCCCCCAAGACAGGGCTTTGGAGTCTAAGAGCAGGAAGGCACCCTCCCCCAGCCTCAGGCCCAGGCGGCGCTGTCACTCAGGGGCTGGATGGGCCAGCACAGCTGCAGGCCAGGGCCCCCTCCCCCCCGCGAGCCTAAACTTAGCCCCCGCCTCGGGCGACCCGGCCCCTCCCCCACCCGCTGGCGCGGGCCTCGGGGAGCCTGCAGGGGAGGCCCCTGCGCCTGGGGGTGGGGGGTGGCCTGCCCTAGTTAAAGGTAGATGGGAGGGTGTACAGGGAGGATGCGAAGGGGAGTCAGACTCGGAGAAGAACCATCGGGATGGGTCAGGGTTTGATTGGAGTGAGGGTGAGAGGGTGAAGAGCGTCTGGAAAGAAGTGGAAGGGTCTGGGCTCCTGGTTAGCGGATTATTGGGAGGCAGATACAGTGTATATGGGTGAGATGAAACACAGGGTCTGGAGGTTATTTTTTTTTTATTATTATTGGTTTTTTACAGAGAGGAAGGGAGAGGGATAGAAAGTTAGAAACATTGATGAGAGAGAAACATCGATCAGCTGCCTCCTGCACACTTCCCACTGGTGATGTGCCCGCAACCAAGGTACATGCCCTTGACTGGAATCGAACCCGGGACCCTTCAGTCCGCAGGCCGACGGTCTATCCACTGAGCCAAACTGGCTAGGGCTGGAGGTTATTTTTTTTAAAATTTTTTAAAATATATTTTTTTATTGATTTCAGAGAGGAAGGGAGAGGGAGAGACAGATAGAAACATCAATGATGAGCGAATCATTGATTGGCTGCCTCCTCATGCCCCCCATTGGGAATCGAACCCTGGACCCTTCAGTCCGCAGGCCGACGCTCTATCCACTGAGCCAAACCAACTAGGTCTAGTCTGGAGGTTATTGATAGGACTTGGGAGGAGGGTCTTAGAAAGAGGTCAGAAATGTGGGTGAGATGCTTAGGAAGGAGGGTGGGTTATTAATACATTTAGGACTTAGAAAAATGTGCTGGTAGGAATATCAAGGAGCTATCACTTTACACTATCAGGTTGCCCCAAAATATAAAGAACAGTAACACCCACTGCTGGGCAGGATGCTGGGAAAAGATCACCATCGCTTTGCTCATGGAGAAGAGAATTGTTACAGTCTTGCTAGTAAGCCATCTGGGAGTATTTATGACATCCACCCAGCCGTTCCACCTTGGGATTCTCTCTCAGAGAGAAGAGCCCTAACCTGTTTGGCTCAGTGGATAGAGCATCAGCCTGCGGACTGAAGGGTCCCAGGTTCGATTCCGGTCAGGAGCATGTACCTTGGTTGAGGGCACATCATCAGTAGAGGGTGTGCAGGAGGCAGCTGATCGATGTTGTTTCTCTCTTATCGATGTTTCTAACTCTCTATCCCTCTCCCTTCCTCCTGTAAAAAAAAAGAAAAGAAAAAGAAAGAGAGAAGAATATCTGTAGAAGGCTGGTGCTTGCAGTACTGTTATGGAAAGGAGGGGAGGGAACAGTGAACGGTCCAGCAATAGATACATGATCGAATGAAATGAATGACAGTGAAGCCACACTTCAGAGTATTGTGGCACTCTTCATTAGAAAGAATGAATTAAGAGTTATTCCAGTTGACTAGCAGGGAATTCTAGGAGGGAAGATAGATCGAGATATGTGTGATGCAGAAACGTGTATATATACGATTCCATTTTTCATACATAATGACCAAAAGTTGGGTCCACACATCATCTATGCTTGGAATATAAGATAAAGAGACTTGCTAGATGGTTAACTTGGGTTTTCCAAGAGGGGGAGAGGGGAGGCAATATGGAATAAAAGCAGACACTAAAAGGTTGGAAATTGGATTAAGGCTGACACGGCTGTGTCAAGGGGTCATGGGTCAGCCCTGAGACAGGAGGTGGGAGGTCAAGAGGTCACCAGGCCAGGCCCAAACCGCAGCCTGATTGCCCCCCTCCTCCACAGTGGCGGACTTGCTGTACTGGAAGGACACGAAGACATCAGGAGTGGTCTTCACAGGCCTCATGGTCTCCCTGTTGTGCCTCCTGCACTTTAGCATCGTGTCCGTGCCCGCCCATGTGGCCCTGTTGCTGCTCTGTGGCACCATCTCTCTCAGGGTTTACCGAAAAGTGCTGCAGGCCGTGCACCGGGGGGACGGTGCCAACCCCTTCCAGTGAGAACCCCCGGCCCTGACCCTGACTCTCCAGACCCCGGTGCTGACCCTAAGTCATGACCTATGACCTCCGTTCAGGCACCAAGTTCTCACCCGGGTCCTAACCCATCCTATTCCTCTTTCTGGCTCCAACCTGGCCCTGCCCCTGACTAAACCATGCTCTGGCCCTTCAATTGCAGCCCTAACCTGTAATCCTAATCTCTTAGCCTTAACCCTTGATCCCATCTCCTGACCCTGACCCTGACCTTGACCTTAGCCCTCTACACCTGGCCTTCCTCCAAACCCCATTTCTTGCCCTTGTCCCAGCCACACCTCTCAGCCTGAGCCCCACCCACCCACTGAGTCACCTCACACCCCTTTGTCCTCTCAGGGCCTATCTGGACGTGGACCTGACCCTGACTCGGGAGCAGATAGAACGTTTGTCCCAGCAGATTGCCTCCAAAGTGGTCTCTGCGGCCACCCAGCTGCGGCATTTCTTCCTGGTAGAAGACCTCGTGGACTCCCTCAAGGTGCCCCAAAGCCCCCCTTCTCTCCTGGGTTCCCAACCATTCGCCTTCCTGCCCCTGGGGGGTAGGAGGGCCATTTCTGGGTAAGTTCAGAGCCTGGGGAGTGCCCTATAAGCTCTGCTGACCCTGACCCTGACCCTCACCCCCAGCTCGCCCTTCTCTTCTACATCTTGACCTTCGTGGGTGCCGTCTTCAATGGTTTGACTCTTCTCATTCTGGGTGAGCTGGGAAGGCGGTGGGGGGCTGGGTGAGGAGGGGGGTCATTGAGGGGAACAGGGACCCAGATGGAATTGTTCATCTCTTGTGAGAACCCTGACCCCCCATCTCTGTGCCCACAGGAGTGATTGGTGTATTCACCGTCCCCCTGCTGTACCGACAGCATCAGGTGAGTGTGACAGGCCCTCTTTCAGGCCCTCAGGTGGCGGTATCCTAGCCAAATATGGCTGGTTTGGCTGCCCCCCATCCCCTACAGTCCGGGTTCCATTGACAGATGTCCCAACCAGAGACAAGAGGGCCAACTGGTGTTTCTGCCCCTGAAAGGATCAGGGTCTGACTGACATAGGTCCCGGCCAGGCACAGGTGCTCTGGCTGCTGCCCCTCAATAGAGCTAGAGTCTAACCCAGTGATGGCGAACCTTCTGAGCTCCGCGTGTCAGCATTTTGAAAAACCCTAACTTAACTCTGGTGCCGTGTCACATAGAGAAAATTTTTGATATTTGCAACCACAGTAAAACAAAGACATATTTTTGATATTTATTTTATATATTTAAATGCCATTTAACAAAGAAAAATCAACCAAAACAATGAGTTCGCGTGTCACCTCTGACACGCGTGTCATAGGTTCGCCATCACTGGTCTAACCAATACATTTAAACAGCCAGAGACGGGCGTTTTGATTGGTGTCCCCTGATGGAGCCAGGATTTGACTGACATGCCCCAGCCCAAGGCGGGTGGACTAACTGATGCTCCTCGCTGACGACGCGCCCAAGGTCTGACTGGCAAGTCCTCGCTGCAGAGTCAGTCTAACTGATGTCTTCCTTCCCTGCCACAGCCTCACACGGAACAACACTCATCCTAGCCAGAAACAGGCAGACAGATGAATGCCTTCTCCCCCTGACACCACCAGAGACTGACAAACACATAGCCCAGCTGCAGACAGACAGACAAACCGATGCCATCGATCCTTACACGTACTCTGGGTCTGATGGACACCATCCCAGGCAACACAGGTGGACCGACTGATGCTCTCACTCCCTAAAGTTGCCAGGGACTGACGTCTCTGTCAGAATGGGTGGATGACTTCTGCCCAGAATGCTGACAGAACCAAGGCCAACTGACTTGTATCCTGTCCAGAGACAGACAGAGGGACTGACATTCCCTTCTCCCAGCACAGCTGAGAGTCAAATAACGCACGTCCCTCCCAGAGATAGGCCTAAC